CCCCCTTTATTCTGCATTAGAGTGCCTTTGTGTGGTTCTGCATAATCCACTTTGACTCAGTTCTCATAGATGTTGGGGCAGGAGGGGTCTGAAAGAGGAGGGTTTAGTGGCCTCGTGGACAGTTGTCCCCCCGAGTCATGCTGGCACCCATCGCTGGTTGTGGGAGCCTCCTTCCTGCCATTCCAAGCAGTTTGCATATCAGTGATATGCTGCTGTATAGGGACCATTTTATTTTCAAAGCAAACTTTTATCTATAGATTCCTGGAGTTTAAGGCCAGACAGGATCATTGTGATAATCTATTTTGGTGTCCTATGTACCACAGGCTACCCAGTGATTCTTGCTTTGAGCCCGATGTTTTGTGGTTGAACTAGAGAATATTATAGAAAGACATTCATCCCGTTTTGTTTTAAAATCAATCCAATCGTTAATTACCCACACTTAAAAAATCTGTGTCTTAGTTCCACTTTTAATGGTGATTGAATAGATGTATGTTCCCTCTTAGTCAATGCTGAACCATCAGCATAGCATGGTAGTACGTGGGTGGCATTTTTAGGTTCATTGTAAGCCCAAAGTCCTGGTCGCTCGTGATCAGTAAAATGGCATGGCACTTTTATAAGTGTGTTAACCCTGTTATTCTGGCCCGATTCCAACCTGAGTAATTCTGTTTTGCCTCCCTAAATTCCTCCTGCAGTTGGATACCTTCTTCTTTTTCTAAACTGTTGTGTGGTGTTGCTGTGCCCTGTTACAAGCAACAGTGTTTTGGATGAAATCTGCACTGGAGATCTGTGTGTAATGTGTTTGGGGGAACTGTATACATGTAGGTTATCATTTATTACTAATAATGAAAAATAGGATACACATCCTAAGGATTAACAGCTAATGGTGAAGTCTGGTCAGAAGTCAAACACAGTTTAGATTGTAAGCTGTTTGAGGCAAGGACTATCTCTTAGGCACTGTACAAACACTGAATATCACCATGGGGGTGGAGTACGGGGGATGGGACCTGTTCTTGGTTGGTCCCTAGGCACCACCATAATGAACATGATACGTTTAAAAAACAAAACAAAATCAAAGCCAAATACCCAGTCCTCCTCAAAAATCCCAGCCAACCAAACAAAACCACAGACTTGTTCTGGTCTCTTTGCATGTGTGAATGCTGAACCTGAAAAACACAGGAAAGCTAATGAAAAAGATGTTCTCAGGTATAACCCTGTAAATCAGTCAATATGGTAAATGCAGTTGCAACCTGTGAAATTTTAAGTCTTCTTAATGTGAAGTGCACCTAACAATAATACAATTCTGTCAGACTTACAAGCAGCTCTGGTTTTTCTTGTAGGTGCTTTTTTTTTGGTTTTATTTTTTTACATGTAATAATTACATGATTTGGCAAGATTTCCAAGTGTGATAGGCTGCTTTTCCTAAAAGCTTTTTTTTTTTAAAGTTTGTATTTGAGGAATAATTAGATGAAATGGAGAAATTAAGCATTTCTCAGTGACACTCACCTTTAGTTAGCCTGCTGTGAAATCAAAACTGAGCACCATGGATTTAAAATCCAAAGTAATCTTATAGTTTCATGGTTCATGCTGATTTTTGTTTAATGCTAAACCCTAAAAAATTATGAACATTGAAGATTATGGTATAGGTGTCATTTTTCTTAGCGTGGTTGTACTCTGAAAAGTGAATATTACATCGTTTCTCAATGACTTTTGCATTAAATCCGTTCTGAGTCAAAGTGTAAAGATGCAAGGTGCTGTTTTTACATTGTCACTTTTCAGAGTAGAACTTCATTTTTCTCTCCTTTGTAACTGACATCTGCATAGCTGGAGATTAAGTACACAAAATAGTGTAATATACCATATGCTTAGATGTCAAGTAAGATGTGTAAATAAAGGGCCTGTCACATTTCTTAAAGTCCTTACTAACATTTTTTATATAGTCTTTTAAGGGATCCCTAGGTTTGTATCTGCCCTTGTATGTATTCTGAAACTTACTAGGAAGCTATGGTTTCTCTGACCAATCCTGTGGTAAAGACTCCCTGGTCTTTATCTCTGTCATTATTTTGCTATTACTTTCCTTGTCTAAAAGAGGGGATGAATATTCAGCCCAGTGTCTGAGTCAGAATGATCATTAACCAAAAGGCAAAGCAGCATTTAGTTTGCTTTATACTCACAATCCCTAGGAGAGGCACAGAGACCTCCAGTACAGATACAGTCCTTAGTTCCAGAGCGGACCTCCAGCTTGTGTTCTGGCCAGGGGTCTGTTGATCTGGTTTATTATTAAGAGTTGGTCTCAGACTTAAAATAAAATCAGATTGTTTACAGTGTTCCATTTAGTTACTACTCTGCTGGTCTGTCAACTGCCCTTGAACTCAAATAATTCCTGCCAGAGCAAATGCTCCAATATGCGTGCTATGCTTGTAGATAATGAGCTTGCTTCTAATGCTGCCACATGTTATTGTCCATGTGCATATCTACTGAGTGTTCAGGGCTGGGGCTCATTTATTTACAGAGAGGATAAAGAACACTAGTTGGTTCTAGCATATGCTTCGTTTTCTATGCTATGAACGATTTTGCTTTATCTATTAGTCATGTCTTGGAACAGCATTTTCCTTCCTTTCTCCTCAACTGAAAGCACAATAAATAGCTACATCTCTGATATGGCATTAGTTGAGACTGTGTTCTACACCTTAAAGAAAGAGACAATGTATTATTGTTACAGAAAGATCATCCACAATCATTTTTGGTAAACTGCAACTTTTTACCAAACTGATGTAGTTTAAAAAAAAAATGTAAAAAACCCAACTGGGCTGGAAACTGGTTATAGTTTGACATCTTGAAATAAAAGGGTGTCTTGGCTTAGATACACATCTTACACCAACCCGGACTGTGTGATGCCACAAGGCATCCTTTGATACCTCCAGAAGACTGCAGTCATCAGTATAAATAATGTATTTCCCAGAGCACCCATTATTTCTACCTATTTTACAAAGAGAAAAGAGGGCATGATCCCTTCTCCAAGGATTTTACAATCTACAGACAGATAGATGGTAGAGGAAAGTGTACAGCCTATGAGAAGAGTGGTAAAGGTAGTGAGTAAATGGCCACATCTTGATAATATAAGATTAATCCTATCCAATTTTTCGCTCAGACCTGCCAGTGTAAGTCAGTACAAAAATAATATATGATCAATTTCTGCCCATTCAGTTAGATTGTGTATTATGGATAGAACGCATTCCAATACAAGTCATGTAGCACAGAGGAAGGTTATGAGTTTTGCTACAGCTACTTCCAGTATCTTTGGCACAGATATAGATGTAATAAACTGTATATTAAATGTTACAAAGTAGCAGCCGTGTTAGTCTGTATCCGCAAAAAGAACAGGAGTACTTGTGGCACCTTAGAGACTAACAAATGTATTTCAGCATAAGCTTTCGTGGGCTACAGCTCACTTCTTCAGATGCATAGAGTGGAACACACAGACAGAAGATATTTATACATACAGAGAACATGAAAAGGTGGAAGTACGCATACCAACTGTAAGAGGCCAATCAATTGAGATGAGCTATCAGTAGCAGCAGAAGAAAAAACTTTGAAGTGATAATCGAGATGACCCATAGAAGGTGTGAGGAAAACTTAACATGGGGGAAAAAAAATTCAATTAGTGTAATGACCCAACCATTCCCAGTCTCTGTTTAGGCCTAAGTTAATTGTGTCTGATTTGCATATTAATTCGAGTTCAGCAGTCTCTCTTTGGAGTCTGTTTTTGAAGTTTTTTTGTTGCAAAACTGACACCTTCAAGTCTGTCACTGAGTGATTAGAGAGGTTGAAGTGTTCTCCCATTGGTTTTTGAATGTTATGATTCCTGATGTCAGATTTGTGTCCATTTATTCTTTTGCGTAGAGACTGTCCAGTTTGGCCAATGTACATGGCAGAGGGGCATTGCTGGCACATGATGGCATATATCACGTTGGTAGATGTGCAGGTGAACGAGCCCCTGATGGTGTGGCTGACGTGGTTAGGTCCTATGATGGTGTCACTTGAATAGGTATGTGGACAGAGCTGGCATCGGGCTTTGTTGCAAGGATAGGTTCCTGGGTTAGTGTTTTTGTTCTGTGGTGTGTGGTTGCTGGTGAGTATTTGCTTCAGGTTGGGGGGCTGTCTGTAAGCGAGGACAGGTCTGTCTCCTAAGATCTGTGAGAGTGAGGGATCATCTTTCAGGATAGGTTGTAGATCTTTTTGGGCTCCCGAGGACAGCGTTATATCGAGGTAGAGTGTACTTCTGAGATATATTGCAAGAAATAACTTTATTGGTTGAAAAAGTTGTGAAATATTACTTAATGCTGCTTCTAAACATTTAGGGTGGAATCCTAGTCCCACTGAAGTCAATGGGAGTTCTGTCAGAATCTTTGCTGTGCCTATGTGGGGACCAGGACTGGTTCATCTGCTTTCTTCCATGACCCAGTGAAGTCTGTGATGTAATTTCTGCTGCTAGATTTCTTTCTTATAGAATGTGGCACCAAATGCTACAATGGCAGGTCCCTGAAGTCAGAATTTATTATCAATCCATGGTATGCAGGTAGCAAAGCTGTTGCTAGACTGTGAAAACAGAGCAGGAAAAGAAATCAGGAAACCACATAAACAGAAGAGAGCACAGATATATTCGTTCATTATACACAAGATTTGATCCTATATGGTAACTTTTTATTCAATTTAAAAACTCCATTCAAGTTGACCAGCTGGAATGGATAATGTTGTGGATCCCAAAGAGCCAAGCAACAAACACAAGAGTCCGTGAGCACGGCTATTGAAGTCCCAAGGGCTGGACTCTTCTGAAATCTGGTGTTGCGTTTGTAATCAGCAGTGATATGAAAGGCGCACAGGACAAGTACATGCCAGCTAAATGTAAAAGACATGTTCAAAACTCTGCCTGGGTGTCACAAACTTTGTTGCCCAAGACTGGCTGTCTGACTAGCTAACCATCTTTTTTTTTTTTTTTTTTTAAATTTCCAGTCTACTATGCTCATGATAAATTGGATGACTTCATCAATGTTGTTAACATCCATCTACAGCCTTTCTTTATGCAGATCCGGAAGGGAATGTCTGAAGATGATGGGAGAACATATTACGCATTGGTAAGTGTGTGATATGCTGCCACCTTCTGGATTTAATTTCTAACTACTAGTAACGCTAACCAATGTCACATTTCAAAGATGCAGCAGCAGGGGAGAGTCATCTCTATACGTAACATAAAATTAATCGTGATGTGTAACATATCAATGAAAAGTGCACATTCCTCCTAATACTTTTAGACTGGTAAGCTCATTCGGGCAGGGACTGTATTTTTGCCAGTGCTTAACAAATATAGCTACTATTTCTCTTTGTGCTCCAAATGCCATCCTTGAGTGTGAGGTACCAATAGAAGTACTGAAACAAAGGACTATAATAGCAATGTTATTTAGAACAAATATTCAGAATCTTACGAATGAGGCTGTGTCTGCCAGCACGCTTCTCACACTTAGTGATGTCTTGTGTTGGCTGGGCTCCTTCAGTCTTATGCTGACAGCTGCTCTAGAATCTACATGTAGAACAGGGAAGTGTGAGGATAAACTGTTCACATGACAGACACGAGGGAATGGAACATGGCAGCAAGGACTGTAGTAGTGTCTGACTTATTTATCATAAATATTAAGAGGTGGTGCTGCAATAAGATTTTTTTTTTTTTTAAAGGAACTTTTTTTCTCTATCTGTAACTTCATCTGGAAAGCTCTCAAACCTCCCCAACATGGGTTTTTTGCACCTGCTAATCAAAAATTCATCCAATAGAAAGGATTTGCTAGGAAATGATTTCCCTGGAATTTCTGGATTGTAAATGTCAGTGAGAGATAGAGCAGTGTCTGCCGATTTCACAGGTCTGGGAATCATGTGCTCTGTGCAACCCTGACCAATGCCTTTAGCTCCTGGTTCCTATTTTCCCATGTGTAAAATAGGGCTAATAATACATAATGGTAGAAGGTGCAAGAGCAATACAAAGTATTGTTGTTTTTAATAATCAAGTAGTGCCACCTATTAACCATAGTAAATTACTATTTGCTATTAGGTATTTTCATGATTTTTGAATGCTGTTCTATTGTATCCCTTTCATCTCAACTTACCTCAGAATCTAAACCTTTATCTGAAGTACTGGCTTAGTATAAGTGAAAAAGTCCGTCTCATCTTAGTCTCCATTTGCGCACAATGTGGAGTGTTTGCTCAGGAGAGGCCCAGGACTGGAATACAGGTGGTGCTACAAGGGCAGGATTGAGGTGTTTTTGTTAAAAGGTTTTGTCTCAAGAAAGAATGTTCCCCTTCATGCTATTGCAACAAGTGACCTTTATGTTATTTTAAAATAATACATGCTTTGTTCTGGCTGGAAGTACAAAGGTAGTTTTAGTTCAATAATTATGTTATTTTGTAGGTGAATCTGGCAGAAACTGAAATATCTAAGATGGCATCTGACTATACAGAAAATGAGTTAGAATTGTTCAGAAAAACTGTAAGTACTGTATGTCATCTCATTACTCAGCAAATCAGACTGTTGGGGGAATGGTCTCCTCTTTAAAATAAAAGGAATAGTCTGTGAAATCTGCTTGAAGAATAAGCTACCATATTGCTTTAGTTGTTGTACCACAAATCAATTGAAAAAATAGAAGTGTGGCATAAATCTATTCCCTCTTGGGGATAAATTAGTGTTAAATCGAAATCAATAATGAGAAAGTGCTTCTCAGAGCAAGACTTGGCAGACCTGCTTTTAGTTTAATAATCATATTTCTGCAGCAGCACTGTCCCAGAATTCCCAGCAATGACTGGGTAATTCTGTCTGGGAATAGAAGGTTTCAGGATCCCTTTAATATACAGTAGATTTTGACATAAATAACCTAGTACTTGGATTTGAAGATTGTGATAAAGTGGATTGTATATTGTTGGTTTAGTCGATGAATCATATGCATTGATAGCAATTGACAATGCCGCCTAAGAAGATAGGCAGACAGCTCTTGAACAGTTTTCAAAGCTCAAGACTCCTACATTGGGTCCATATGCAGTGTCCTGCTTCATGTGAACCAACGTTGTCATCACTAGCATTTCCCATGATAAGAATTCAGTATCTTGCTTTTTGTTGGTTTCTTGCTATAATGTTCGGTTCTGTTCGTAAAGAGTATAGTGAGTTTCTGTGATCGCTCGGAGACTGTGTATGTTTTGGGCCTACTGGTGCTAAAAATACATCTGTTCTTTATGGACTGCAAGGGCAATGTGTTGCTTGCCTAGAAGAAAATCCTCACTTGCCTCAATGTGAAGTTTGTCCAAAAGTCTCATCTACACTGACAGCTTTCGGAAATACTTACATTGGTCTAAGACTGGAGCAGCTTCAGTGATGAGATCAACAGTGTAGACCAGGGCATAGGTTACTACCACTCTCCTCTAGAGCTGCGCTGAGCAGATACAGTGTGCTGAAAGTGCATGTGTCCTGCCTTCACTAGCACTCCAAGATTTGTTGCCATCACAGATTTTTTTACTGAAGCTAAACTAAAGATGATAGAATTTCTGAAAACTGGCAGTACCAATTCAGCCTAAGGCCTGGTCCACACTAACCCCCCACTTCGAACTAAGGTACGCAAATTCAGCTACGTTAATAACGTTCGAACTTACCGCGGGTCCAGACGCAGCAGGCAGGCTCCCCCGTCGATGCCGCGTACTCCTCTCGCCCACTTGGAGTACCGGCGTCGACGGCGAGCACTTCCGGGATCGATTTATCGCGTCTAGACAAGACGCGATAAATCTATCCCAGAAGATCGATTGCTTACGCCCGGACCAGGAAGTAAGTGTAGACCTGCCCTAAGAATGTCAAGTACATTTACTTGTGCACATGAATCCAGTTGGAACAGATACCTTCCTGATGGATAAAGATCTTTCATCAAGGAAGCATAGATCTCAGGCCAAGTCAAGACACAGATTCCTCACTGGTGTGGAGGATGCATCATATATTCAGCATCATTGCAGTGTATTAAAGGGGCTTCAACATTGCTTCCTGCAAGCCCCCATCTTGCAGTTTGAGTTGAGGAATTATCTCCCCTGTGGCAGGTTAACACTGCCAACAGCCTCTTAATTGGTTGTTTCCTGAACTATTTGGATTATATGTTGCATTTTATAGTAGATTTAAGCTAGGTGCTGAAAAAAACCTCCACATTGCCATTAACCCAGGACTGGGGCTAGCCAATTGTATGTTTTTTCTCATCAGATATTTTTCTTTCTGCAGATGGATGTGATCATCATATCAGAAAGTGGCTTTGCATCTTCCACAAATATTTTAAACCTGGCTGACCAACTTAAAACAAAGAAAATGAAGAAAAAGGAAGCAGAGCAAGTGCTGCAAAATTTGGTGCAGGATAAGTGGCTCTCTGAAGTAATTGCTTTATCTTGTAGAGAGAGTGGGCATTTTAGTAGCTTTGACTGTTCTTTCTTACTGCTTTGACAGCCAAAAGTACAGCTCTACTCTAAAGAGTGACTTGTAAAAATGGTATTGGGTGAGCCAATTTTTATTGTCTCAATGATTCCATATAAAATGTACTAAGTTTACAAGTCTTTGCATCGGGCTGTTCTGTAAGCTTACCCTAGAGGAGTTGACTCGGACAGAGCTCTTTTCTTCTCATGTATCATCACTAGTAGCAAAGGTTCTGCAAGCCAAACAATACGGTTACAGCTAGGATCTCATGCAAGGCAGCAAAGTTCCATAGGTGTAACTGAGAAACATGCCGAAACACTCCCATAGTCTCCATGCTTGGGACACTCTGAACACTTGCAGCTCTCCTTTAAATACTGAATTAGGGAAGTGGTTGTGCCACTGCTGGTGTTAGCCCCACCAGAGAAGAGCTGGAGTGATAGTTCCACCCCTCATGTTGGCAAGCAGAGGTGACCATGTCCGTAAGTGGTGCTGTTACTGTGCTCACCCTCTGCTCTTGGAGGTGTTTCACCTTGAATCTCTACACCGTCCTCTGCCACGGGCTCCCTTGATCTGGGGGAGACTTTCAAAAATGTAAAGGACAGGTAGGTGCCCAATTCCTACTGAAAGTCAGGAGGCAACTCCCATTTGTGCCTTTGAAAATCTCTTCCTTTATTACATGTGTTAAGAAATGGTGCCAGATTTTCTTTCATGATATTTCTCAGTAATCTAGGTATTTTAGAGCTGTGCCAAAGAGAAGTCCAGTTGCAAAGGTATATGTTGTTACATGGAACCCTACATTTTGTTAAGAATAATCTTTTACCTCTGTGGTCTTTGATGGAGGATGGGCGAAAGAAATGAATGTCAAGCTTTGCTTTTGCTAAAAGGTAGAGCGTGAGGTCAGAAAAAGGTCAAGAGTGAATTGTAAGAAACAATATTATAGTCTTACAGTTGGTGGTGTTGTTCCCTTAGCGAGATGGGGAGTACACGTTGCACACTCGCTGCATAATGGAGATGGAGCAATACATCCTCAGCAACTACCAAGACTTGGTGAGGAAATGTAACATCTGTCACAGCCTCGCCATCCAGGTAACAAATTGGACTGGGCTTCCTCAGTAGGTATCTGCTGTTGAGAAATACTCCTGCATGATGGTAGCTAAAGTATGTGATATTTTTCTTTCTGAGCATTTGTTCTATGTTCAGACCGCTGTTGTAACCTGGCAATGGAGTCCACAGTACACAAAATACCTATTCTGACGCATTCTGTTGCTGCTTGCTGTCACTGGAAAAACGTATAAGAACTTGGAGAAAGTGAGCTCAGCCAGTGAGAACCCTGCATCCATCATGTTGGCTCCTGTCCCAGTCACCTGAGCTGGGGGTGAATCTTTCCCATTTTTACATGTGCATAACCGTTGTTAGCTATTCTAAGCCACTGGGCTCAGCACACGGTGATTTCCCTGTCTGGCACATGCATCCATCTTCACTCTTGGTGGTGGATGCAGAGTTCTAGAATAAGCCCACAAACTGCATTGAGGAGCTGGGCAGTGGCACCCCCACAAGCGCCCAATCTTGTCCCCCTAATAAGAGGCTGGAACCAGAGCGCCTCTTCTCAGCTGTCAATCCCCCGTTACTCATTCCCTGCCTCCTGCAGCTACTTCTCTTCTCCAAGTCTTCCCTAACAGGCACGCTGTTCTGACACTCCTTTTCCCACCCACCTGTTCCAACACCCTTTGGCTCTCAAGCCTTCTTGCTATGATTCTTTCCATCACCCCAACAAATGCCCGTTTCCCAGCTCCCAAGTACGTATTTCCCTGTAACCTATACCAGCCTCTGTTTACAAGGATCCTCCAGCTGGCAATGAAGTAAAATTCTCTCAAGTTAATGCTCTTACTTTGGGTCAGTAAGGCAGACTCTTTCCAAAGATGACATGCTTTGTAGCACTGAGAGGGAGACCAGAAATGCTTTCTGTTAACAGTAACATTTCTCATTTCAGAGTCAAGTATGTGAAACTTGTGGAATTGGAATGCACTTGCCTTGTGCTGGAAAATATTTCAAAGCTCAGACGGAACCACACTGTCCCCACTGCAATGAGTTTTGGCCACATGAGATTCCAGGTAGCAAGCAACCCATTTTAAAACTCTTGTATAATAATACCTCTGTATGGACTGAGCTACATCTCTACCCCGATCTAACGCGACCCTATATAACACGAATTTGGATATAACGCGGTAAAGCAGCGCTCCGGGGGGGGGGGGCTGCGCACTCCGGTGGATCAAAGCAAGTTCGATATAACACGGTTTCACCTATAACACGGTAAGATTTTTTTGGCTCCCGAGGACAGCGTTATATTGGGGTAGAGGTGTATTTAATGGTGATACTTAAATTACTGTAGTCATGATGAGGTGACAGTGGATTGAACTTTCTTACTTACTGGAAACTTCAAGTATTTCAGCTGGTGGATCTTTCTTTGGTAATTTTGTGCACCTATTACTGTCAGGGTTGTGCCTTTACTCCCAGAGTCCTAGACCCTCTCTGCTACCAGCAGTATTTTGAGTGAAAAAAAAAATGTGGAAATGTTCAGTTACATTTAAGCAGAAGTTTCTCGGAATTCCTCAATTTAACTAATGAAATGGAACATTTCTAATGGAAGTCACAAGCAAATAGGAGTTTACACATTTTTAGCCATTTAGAGAGAATTTGGAGCTCATGAAAGTGTATTGTCACGGTAACAACACAAACCAGTATTTGTTCACTAACATTGCATTGTTTCTTAACACAGAGATAAATCGGCCAGATTCCCAGTTGCCTTCAAGTGCCCTGAGGGAGAGGAGAAGAACCTCATCTTCAGGAACAAGGCGGCGTTAGAAAGACCAGCTTCAGTTAGAGCGGCCATTTTCTTTCACTGTCTTAAAGATGAGCCCAATTGCAGTTTACTTCATCGTTAGTGTAAAATGTGTCATTCTGAAAGTAGGAATGCCTAGGGAACAAAGTCAACTTTCTTTTTATGGTTTGTTTTTACTTGGCTAAAATCGTGCTAGAAGTTTGAAAATAAAACTGTTCTGTCCTTGGCCTCCCTGCTCAAAGGTCCTGCTTAGTTCCAGCACTGTTAAGAAGGTCAGCATAGCTGTAGTGGAGGCTGTCATGGTATGTGTACATACCTACCATTATTGCCAAAGGGGGGGGTGGGACATTACACCTGTGTAGGAATGGGAGATTTGACTGCTGCTGCCTCAGCTGTGTAAACTGATCCACATAGACAGACCTTTATACCATGCCTAGTCCTGTTAAGTTAAATGGGGCCCTGCCCAGGTGCAGGGATCCATCTGCACAGGTCTGAACGTGCAACTGGGACAGGAGAGCTCAGTGCAGGGGAGTTTGTGCAAATCCTCCAAAAATAAAACTTTTTAAAAGAGTCAAGACCTATTTCGACTTCCATTTTAAAACTGTTATAAAATCAATGAGGTTTGTCAACCATTCTGTCATCCTGGTTGAATTCAGTGAAGGTGCCTCTGACAGGGCTCAGTATTAACATCTCATCCCCACCTAGGTCCAGCCCTTCTCTGAAAGGATGCTTTTAAACAGAGTATTCACATACACATTCACTCTTTATTGCTGCAAATCTGACAAAGAGGTGGTGCCAGAAGCACATCTCAGGGTTTCCCAAGATTTAAGAGCATCTATTAAGCCTCCTTTTAATATCATGATTTCGTGGTAATTGTTGGTTGTAATAAATAATGCTAAGTTAGCACTTCTGCTGCACCTTCATTTCTTGGATCTCAAAGCACATTCAGTCTCACAGTTTCACAGGCACAGAAGCAGGTGAGTAGTCTTTTCAGCCCAGAATGCTGGAGAGTAGAAGTTGAGCATCTCTTTCACAGTTCCTTCTGTTATGATTGTTTTTACATAATACCCCAGAAAATGGTTTAGTGTGGGAGAGAGGAGCCTAATGGAGTGAGCACCAGATGAAGGAGCAGTCTCCAAACACCACGTGCTGATTCCTTCACTGGCTCACTGCACCAGAGCTCATGTTGAAGCTTCATTCTAAGCAAACACGCACTTGGGGTTTGCATAACAGTGAGAGAGAACTCTGCATTTGCAATGATTAGTAATATCAGAGCTTTAATCAAGAAAATGAAATCTTCATTTCATATTTCCCCTGTGAGCAAATGGGCTTTTTGTTAGATCAGCAGACGAGAAGTCACTGCAGTGCCCATGTTTTATATATTAATGTATTTCTCCAGCAGCTATTTTTAAAAATCATTTTAGAATAGTCTGTTTCCTTACAATGGCTTGGAAGGGAGAGAGGCACCAGACCCTGCCAGCTGCAACAGCGAGGATGGTAATGAATTAACTGCTGGTGAGAATGAAAGGAATACAGTCCATCTCCCCGCAAAGGGCACAACACAAGTACTACAGCTGAGCTCTATAACTGAATTATATAATAATCCATTGTACTGCTCTTTCAGCCCTCATTAGCAATAGACTTTACTGCTGGCTTGGCTCCTTCTTATTATCTGAGATTTTGTATAAATGTTATCCACCATAATGGAAGTCATGGATATGCAACAACTATTAAATTCAGATGGATGGTAAACTTACAATGGATCACATGCTCCCTTCAGCTCCACTTTGACAATCACACCATTTAGGGCCCAGTGTCTTGATAATGCCCATATATAGTCTTGTTTTGGGTATGTATACTTGAGCTGATCATTTGACAGATGCTCTTTATTAGGAATTTGTATCGGAAACATTCACAAAACAGTGGCTGCTGCAGCTAGCTCATTTCTGATTCTTTGTTTAGATTTCTCGCTACGTCAGGAGGCAGAAAGAACTGAATTTCTTAACCCAGCTCTGCACTTTAAGCAGAAGATAATGAGAACGTTCTCATGTTACGAAAAAACTTTCCTCTGTTGAAGGTCTGAAAATTCTTTCACTAATCAAGAGTACAGCATGCTGCATTTTTTATATTACCTTAAATTGCACAACAGAGATTTATCCACACCAAATCATGCTTTATAACCACCAGAAACTGACAGAGAAGCTGACATCGAGAGATCGTACATAATGCCAGTATTTAACTGGAATGAACAGAACCTGTCCTGGTGTCAGAATACAAGCTTGGAATGCAGCCCGTTCAAACTTGGGGAACTTAACTAAATCGGGATCCTCCACATCCACCTATAAAGCAAACACACAATTTGTTTTCAGGTCCAAAGATGGTTTGGCTATTTAAAATTAAATTATCAATTTTTAGATTTCAGGCAGCTATTTACCTGGCTGGTGTTGTGAAGAATTTGGGTTTCATGTGGATATAAGTTTTCTGATTCCTGTGGAGAGTACAGACGGATGTATTTTCTTCCAATTACCTGCAGGTGGAATGATATAAATTTCCCATCTGTCATTAATCTGCACATTACCTGCTGAAATAGGGTTTGAGTTCAGTTAATTAGTGATCAGTCTAATGCTCTATACCTCTGTATCATGACAAGCACTTAACAGTAGAATACAGCGGATTGCCAGATCCTGGGCAAAACAGGTAAAGTCATGATTTTTGCTACTGAGGAACATGAAGAATGAAATCAGATCAGATTGGGTTGTAACCCATGTACCTGACTTCATGGAATAGGTAAGATGTCCAAAATACTGGGGAGATGCTTTTAAGGAAAGGAAGGCAGCTCTTCCTCTTGAAATTCATTTTTAATTATATGGCACCCAGTCTCCACAGTGCTGCTGGGGCCATACATAGCTAGAAGGAAACAATGTTGAAAGGATGATGAATAAAAAGTATTGAGTTAGCCGTGCCTGCTGAGCTGAGCAGTGCTACATTCAAGAGAGTAAAGGTGATATTTCCAGGTAGCAGCCAGCTGATCTTGAGCTTGCTCATACTCTACAAGGTCTAATTTTTCCATTACCATTTGTTCTCTACATTGTGATGTGCAATTGGGAGAGTAGAATTAGAAAGGCAGCTGGACTGATTGACCTGCAATTCTCTGAGTTGCAGGCAGGTGATGCTAAAAATTAACTGGCAGACTAAATTAAAGTTGCTAGGCTATGAAACTTCACAGGCGCTTGTGCTCTCTGTTAGCAATAGAATAATGCCTCCATCACTAGCAATCCCTCGATTTGAGGAGGATCTCTACCACAGATTTACATATGGGTCCTGAGATGACTCAGGAGTCCGATCTGGGAACCACAGATCCGCCTGCAGTAGGTACAGATATTTTCTGGTGGATCAGCTGCCTGCTGGGAAAAAGGTTTTTTCTTTTTAATTCCTTCTCTCTCTCTTCTCAGCTTAAAGGGCAAGACACTTCTCCTCGACGTGGCGCCATTGAGGTTGGTTGGTGGCTTGCTCCTCCCAGCTTGTTATGTCCACATTAGTTTTCTTTGTAGCGTTTCCTTCACCACCACAGGATCTCTGACCATGGGTGAGCTGAGAGTAGAGGGCTTGTTTTGGGAGGCAAGAGTCTGGCATCCACACACAACGTCCAGCCCAGCGGAGTTAGTGCATGAGGATCATTGCTTCAATGCTGGTAACATTGGCTTCAGTGAGGATGCTGGCATTAGTGCAGTGATCTTCCCACTTGATGCGAAGGATCTTCCAGAGCCATTGCTGGTGGCACCTCTCCAGACTCTTGAGGTGCTGTCGATAGGACACCTAGGTTTCGCATCCATAAAGGAGTATAGGAATAACAATTGTCTTATAGACCTGGATCTTGGTGTCCTTCCATAGGTAACGGTCCATGAAAAGACGTTGGAGCACTTTCCCAAAGAAAGCACTTGTGCCTCGGATCCTGTGCTGGATCTCACTATCGATTTTTGCATTTTGAGCGAGTTCACTACCGAGGTAGCAGAAGTGCTCGACTGTCTCCAAAGTCTGTCCCTCAATGGTGATTTGTGATGGGTCATGTACAAGGCCTGAGGCAGGCTGATGGAGCACTTTAGTCTTCTTGATATTAAGTGAGAGTCCTAGGCTTTGGTAAACTTGTGCAAAAAAAAAATCCAGTGTGGATTGAAAGTCATTCTCAGTGTGTGCAAGGATGGCACAGTCATCAGCATACTGAAGATCACTAATGGATGCCCGGAGGACTTTAAACTTTGAAGATTAAACAGCTGCCCATCCATTCTATATTGAATGTCAACTCCATTAGGGAGGCGGTCTTTAATGAGGACCAAAATGACTGCTAAATAGATGGAGAACCGGGTTGGTGCAATAACACATCCTTGTTTACCAGTTTTGATGACAAAAGGGTCCGTCTCCAGGCCATTATAGAAAACGGTGGTAGTCATCTGATCATGAAGTCGTCTTAGGACCGTAAAAATGTTGGGAGGGCAGCCAAATCTGGCCAGCACCTTCCACATGACTTTGTGACTGATGGAGTTGAAGGCCATGTACAGGTCCTGATTTTGCTCTTGAGACTTTTCCTGGATTTGGCAGGCAACGAAGATCATGTTGGTTGTCCTGTGAGATGGTCTGAAACCACACTGAGATTCTGGCAATATTGCCTCAGCAAAGGGAAGTAATTGGTTTAAGAGGATACAGGCGAGAATTTCCCCTGCTGTAGATAGCAAGGCAATGCCTCGATAATTTTCACCCTCCAACTTATCTCCTTTCTTAAAGATTGTAACAATGTTGGCATTTCTCAAGTCTTCCAGAATCTTCTCATTATACCAGATTTGAATAAAAAGTTTGTGGACCTTCTTTACCAGTTCCTCACCTCCAAACTTGTAGACTTCAGCTGGTATGCCATCTGGTCCTGTTGCCTTGTTGTTCTTGGTTTGCATGTGGGCTCGTGGTACTTCTCTGAGGATGGGGGGGGATCAGCAAGAGATTCTCTTTCATGTCTTGAGGTATGGATTCATAGTGGCATCAAACAGTTGATTCATGATTCAGGAGTGACTCAAAATGCTCCTTCCATCTGGCTTTGATGGCTTAGCTGTTTTTAAAATACATTGACCCATCTTGGGCTCAGAGTGGTATAGGAGTATGGGGGCATGGACCGTAAATGGCCCCTATTGCCTGAAAAAAGCTCCTCATGTCATGTGTATGAGTGGAAAGCTCAATCTTCTTGGCCTTTTCTCACCACCACTTGTTTTTGATGTCACGGATTTTCCTTTGGGCTTCAGCCTTGAGTTGCTTGTATGACTCTTTCTTCTTTAGATGTGATACGTCGTTTTGCCATATGCAATGAGCTTTTCTTTTCTGGTTGAGCGGGCCCTGAATTTCAGCATCATTCTCATCAAACCAATCTTGGTGATGGCAGGTGACATAGTCAATGGACTCAGCACATGTCGAAAGAGTGGCAGCCTTTAATCACTTCCAGAAATTTTCATTATCCTCATCAACTGTAAGTATGGTGGTCTCCAAGAAAGGTTTGATACTGCTGAAGTTTCTGCTGAGTCACTGTATCTGGAAGAGACTTGACACTGAATTTCTTTCATATTGATTTTGCCTGCTTACGATGCCTTGAGGCGATCTGGAAATTCATAGCCAGGCCTTAGGCAACACTGGGAAAAGAGAAGCAGTTGAACTAAAACTGGGGCTATGAGGTCCCCTGCTGCCCACAATACTCCACTCCCCATTCACTGACTGAGAATCTCCTCTTCTCAAGGCACAAGTGTCACAAGGCTGGTTGGAGCACGACAAGACATCCAGATTTTCCCTCATAATACTACCCTATGCAAGGCCTTTCCTCCAGTAAGATCCCAGTATCCTTTGCAATCTGTATACATTAGGGAATTCTTCCTATCAAAATGCAGTCACTGCCTGGTGGAACATGGCAGCTGTTTAACTGCATGGCAATTCTAAACAGCCATTTTTAGAAAAGTAAGTGATAAAGAATACAATCTCTAATTGAAATGTAGTGTACTTAGGTAAGTAGGGCTAACACCCCTTCTCATTAACAGGCACAAATAGCCAGGGCCTCAGTTATATGGCTCAGCTGAAAGCAATGTGAAAGAATGCAATAGCTATATTTGTCTTAGAGCATTGGCTGACGTGTCTGTTAAGAGTCTGAAGGGGAGAAAAGAGCAACTCTGAGGTCTCCAGCCTGTAAACAAACTCACAGTTGAACATCTTAAATTGTAAACTCTGGGCAGGCAATCTTCATGTGTTTGTGCTGCGCTAGTACAAAGTTGCGCTAGTACAAAGTAGCCCCAATCCTGATCGGAGCTTCTGGGTGGCTTCTGTAATGTAAACATTAATAAACCTACCAGCAATAATCTTTCTTTTATCTGAGAATAGCACTAATTTGGCTAGGGTGAGAACACGGTTTAAACTCTGAATTTTCATGGAAGTACAAAGAGCTATTTCATAAGATAATCAGGGCTGATGGTGTTATTTGCCCTTGTGGTATAAATTCACACAAAACTCTGCTGCATCCTAGAGAGGAAAAGGAAGGTTTTATGGATAATGCCCCATGCAGGGAATCTGGAGAAATGGGTTCTTCCCATCTCTGCCATGGATTCCAGGTGTGACCTTGGGAAACTCACTTCTCCTTTCTGTGCCTGGGTTCCTCACCTGTAAAATGGAGATAAATAATACTTCCCTACCTCACCGGGCGTTGACAGCATAAATCTGTTAACATCTGTCAGATGCTGAGATGCAAAGGTGGTAAACACAACAGAGATATAGTAAACTATTCACACATGCCACTCTTATCAATCAAGCCTTTAGCTACCCTCGTCTCTAATACTTATGTACGTTCTAGCTGTATTGTTAAAGTTACACTCGGGTTATGCAGTCATTAAAAAAAAACAGTACAGACCTGGACTAAGAAATTTTGCTGTGGATCTTGATGAAGAGGTGAGATGGTTCCCTCTGGGCCAAACCAAGCATTAATGGTGATGTTATCTTCTTCCCCTTCCCCCAGGCTGCAGTAATCAGGGATGCAAATATCCTGCTTCAGTTCTGGGATCTACTCCCAATAACCAACAACAACACAGAAATGAAATTAATAGGCAGCAAGTTTAAAACAAACAAAAGGAAGAATTTCTTCACACAACACACAGCCAACCTGTGGAGCTCATTGCCAGAGGATGTTGTGAAGGCCCAGACTATAACAGGGTTAAAAAAAGAACTAGGTAAGTTCATGGAGGATAAGTCCATCAATGGCTATTAGCCAAGATGGGCAGGGATGGTGTTCCTACCTAGCCTCTGTTTGCCAGGAGCTGGTACTGGACGGCAGTGGATGGATCACTCGATGATTGCCAGTTCTATTAATTTCCTCTGGGGCATCTGGCATTGGCCAGTATTGGAAGACAGGATACTGGGCTAGATGGACCTTGGGTCTGACCCAGTGTGGCTGTTCTTAAGTTCTTATGTAAAAGTACACAATGAGAGCATGTGAGTGCTGATGTGCAGAGCAGTGTCAATATGGATGGCATGTCCAGAATAGAAGACCAGGCCCTATCTCAAAGTGCAAACAACGTCACTTAGATCAATACAATGGAGAGAAGTGAGACAGCCCATGTAAATCATAGTTCCAAAATTATAAACCAGCTGGTTAAATAAACCACAAAGGTTGGATTGTTCAACAGGGTCGGCAGAAGAGAAGGGCCACTGAAGATCTGTAGGAAAGGTCCCCAAACTACTGTAATGTAAAGCCAAAATCTATGGGAATGTTTTTAATTCTGCAGAGAAATTTTCTTCTTTAGCAGTTAAACTCAAAACACAGAAACACTAATGAAAATATTGTTTTATTAGTGAATTGACTATGTTAATAGCATGCTGATCAAGTTCTTTATTAAAATCTTTTGCATCTTAATAGAACTCTGAAATAAAATGAACATATTTAATCTACTCTTTTAAAAAAATGTCCTGCCTTTCCCCCTCCCTTTCTCCCAATCACAATACACACTTGCCCATTCTCCTCTTCCTCAGTCTGCCCAGGGTTTCATACCCTTCCCATCATTACAGTATCTGAACACCTCAGACAGTTCTTGTCAAAGAAACACCAAAGGTTTAGTTTTTCTTCCTACTTCCCCTGGGGCAGTTAGGATTTTTTTTTTATTGTTACAATTTAATTATTTTTCCTTCTTCCCCTGTTCCCACCTCCTCCTTTCGCATAATTGTTAGAAGTGTCTTTACTCATGGGCTGAGACCTGCTCGCTAGTTATTTGTATTGTGATAGCATGCAAAGGCTGCCCTCAGGATCAAGACACCATGCTGCTGGGCACTGTACAGATACAGACAGCGTCCCTGGCCAGAGAGCTTACAATGTAAGTGGAGACATGACAAGATGAAGGAAGCCAAAATAGAGAGGAAACAGGGGAATGAGAATGACAAGAATGAGTCAGCATGGTGGTAATGCATGTGTCTTGGCAGAGGAGCAGATTGCTCTTGAACTATGAAATTAACCCCTCCTCCCCATCCTTCAGTCTGACCCTTGTGTCACCCCAGTATACACCCCTCACCAGACACATCTCCCTCTAGCAAACTGGAAGGAAGGATCAGAAGTAACTGCACAAGCGGAGAGAAGAACAGTTTCCTTTCTGAAGATGGGTAGAGAGTAGGGAGAGCAGCCCCTAGAAGTGGGGCCACAGTCCCTGGAGTTTCAGAAGCCGAGTCACCTGTCCCGCAGTGGTGACAATGATCAGCGACAGAAAGTGATCCCTGGCTTACTTTAAATCAATACACAATCCAGAGTCATCCCAGCCCTCTTGTCTAGTCTCGCCACGAGCAGAGAAAGATCTCTGTAAATGAGACTGTAGCACCAGGGAAGTCACTAGGTGCCACTGGTACAGGCTGCTACCAGTTCTGTTTCTCTGAACACACAGGGAGTAGATGATGAAATGAAGCCTGTTGCCTACTGTGGTGCAGCTGAACTGATTGCTTGTAAAGACTGTTCCCTGCCCAAATTTCCAACAGTTTTATTTCCTGGGTGCAGAGCTGCTGCTCAAGTTATATTCACACACACAAGCAACATGACATGGTCACAAAGCATTACAAAGACTGGATTTTCTCACTACTGAAAAGGTACCACCACACTAAACAGGACGGATCCAGGGTAGAGTTACAGACCTCCCTATCCCTTCAAGTTACGTACGGTGCAGGTGAAAAATCCTAAAACATTATGGAGAATACAGAGTCTCCTTCCAACTAACAGTGTGTCCAGGCTGCAACTGAGATCCTCAGTATGACCCATGTGCTGGGAGAAAGCCAACGGGCGCAGAGGACCACATGGTTTGGACAGAGTCCTTCCTTAGTGGAGGATTTATTAAAGGGGATACTCTATATCCTAACAAAGAGGATAGGATAGAAGTTGATAAAAAGTACAGTAAGATCTGAAGAAAAACAGTCAAAGGACAAAGAGGCATCACAGAAACTTGGTGGAACAATGATAATCAATGGGATACAATAATACCAGGGTACAAAATATACAAAAATGACAGAGCAGGCCGCACTAGTGGAGGGGGGTGGCACTATATGTGAAAGAAAGTAAAGTCAAATACACTAAAAATCTTAAATGAATCAAACTGTACCATAGAATCTCTAGGGGTAGAAATTCCATGCTTGAATAGTAAGAGTATAGCAGTAGGAATATATTACTGACCACCTGACCAGGATGGTGATTGTGAAATCACCAGGGAGATTAGAGAGGCTATAAAAACAGAAACCCCAATAATAATGGGGGATTTCCTATATTGTCACCTCAGGAAGGGATGCAGGGATGAATTTTTTAGATGCCATTAATGACTGATTCTTGGAACAGCCAGTCCTATAACTCAGAAAGGGAGAGGCAATTCTTGATTTAGCCTTAAGTGGAACACGGGGTCTGGTCCAAAAGGTGAATATACTTGAACCACTTGGTAATAGTGACCATAATGTAATCAAATTTAATATCCTTGTAGGGAGGAAATCCCAAAGAAACATACTAATTTCAAAAAGGGGATTCACACAAAAATACACCATAATAAAGGCTCAAACTAAATATATAACCCTGCCCCCCCCCCCCCCCAAAACCCCACCATCAAGAGGACCAAAAAAATGCCACCCTGGCTACACAGCAGAGTAATAGTAAGTCAAATCCAACTGAGGAAAATAGAAAGGAGCATAAACTCTGGCAAATCAAGTGCAGAAGTATAATTAGGCATGCCAAAAAAGAATTTGAAGAGCAACTAGCAAAAGATGCAAGAACTAACAGCAAACATTTTTTTGTAAGTACATGAGAAGCAGGAAGTCTGCCAAACAATCAATGGGGCCACTGGATGATCAAGGTGCCAAAGGAGCACTCCAGGAAGATAAGGCCCTTGCGGAGAAGCAAAATGAGTTCTTTGCAACAGTATTCACTGCATAGGATGGGGTCCCTATTGAGTGTGGGTTGTAGTTGTTTGATGATACCCCATATGGGTTCCAGTGTGAGGTGGTGGGAATAACTAGAGGTGTGCAGTCAGAGGGGGTTTTATTTCTGTATTGAAGCAGGTTCTCTCAGGGTATTTGGGTGGCCTGTTCCACTTCTTTGTGTGTTGGATGGCTGTCATCATGGATGTCACTTCCTTATACGCCAACATCCCTCACAATAACGGCACTGCTGCCTGCCTCAAACATTTACAAGACAATGGACAACACTCAGAGGTCCATCCCAAACACATCGCCAAATTCATCCATTTCAGCCTTACCCAGAACAATTTTACATTCAACAACAAACACTTTGTCCTTACTGTTGGAACAGCCATGGGTATTAGGATGGCTCCCCAATAAGCCAACCTCTTCATGGGCCACCTTGAAGAAGAATTTCTGGACAAATGCACCACAAAACCAATGATATACCTGAGATACATCAATTATATTTTCATCCTCTGGACACATGACTTAAACTCCCTCATAGATTTCCACCACAACTTTAACAACCACCACCCATACATTAAACTCTCTCTGGAACACTTCCACACTATCATCAACTTCCTGGGCACTGATTACGTTTAATAATGGAATCCCATAGATAACCATATACAAGTAACCACTGGATCACTGCACCTACCTTCACAGATCCAGTAACCACCCCAAACACACCAAGAAATCTGTTATCTACAGCCAGGCACTCAGCTACCACAGAACATGCTCTGAGGAGAATGTCTGGGACACACACCTTAACACACTCAAAACCGCCTTCACCAAACAAGGACACTCCATCAGAGAAGTAGATCGCATCATGGAATGGGACACTCAAATACCCTGAGAGAACCTGCTTCAGTACAGAAATAAACCCCCCTCTGAGTGCACACCCCTAGTTGTCACCTACCACCCCACACTGGAACCCATTCTGGATATCATCAAACAACTACAACCCATACTCGATGGGAACCCCATCCTGAAAGAAATCTTTCCTTCCACCCCCAACCTCTCCAAGCTCATCATCAGACGCAAGCTCACAACAGAGCAGGACACACCAAATCAAAGCAGCACCAGACCCTGCCAGAACAACAGATGCAAAACCTGCAGACATATCTCAATTGCTACAATGATCAAGACCCCTCCCAATATATCATTCAAGATCCATGGATCCTACACATGCCCCCACATGCTTCAGGGCACTAAATGCCCCCAAAACAATAAACCAGACAATCACTGCGCTCTCGACTGAACTCACAGGAAAATGATAAAAGACAAAACCACCCTATCACCTGTGGGCGAACATACAAAGGGGTCATTCTATCTCTGACCTCAGTCCTCAGCCTCAAAGGAAACCTACACAACACCTTCTAAAGATGAGCCTGGGAGCTTAAATTCATTACTCTGCTAGACACCAAAAATCATGGACTGACAGAGACACTGGATTTATGGCTCATTACAACAATCTGTAACCCACTAGCCCCCTCTTTTTATCCTATGACTGCAGAAGTGTTAACAAGCCACTCTACCTTAAGTGGTCCCTTACAGCAGGGGTTCTCAACCTTTTTCTTTCTAAGCCTCCCCCCCACACCCACAACATGCTATAAAAATTCCATGGCCCGTCTATGCCACAACAATTGTTTTTCTGCATATAAAAGCCAGGGCCAGCGTTAGGGGATAGCAAGCAGGGCAATTGCCTGGGGTCCCACGGTACAGGGGGCCCAATGAAGCTGAGTTGCTCAGGCTTCGGCTTCAACCCCAGACAGTGGGGCTTTGGCTTTCTGCCCTGGGCCCCCAGCAAGTCTAATGCCAGCCCGGCGGACCTCCTGAAACCAGTGGGGCCCAGACCCATGGTTGAGAACCACTGCTTTACAGCATGTGCTAACTACTTATGCTAAACAATCTCTTCCACCTTGCATTTTGCTCTGACACTGGGAGTTCCTTTTCCAGACCTGAAAAAAAGCCCTGTGTGGCTTGAAAGCTTGTCTCTCTAAGGCCAGGTCTACACTACCACTTACTTCAGTATAATTTACGTCACTCGGGGCATGGTCAACAGGTATACAGGGTGTCTCTGCCTCCCATGGCGCTACTGCGGCCACCAGATGTCTGGTTGCAGGGCTTTGGGGGGAAGTTTTTGATTGATATGCCCCATGCAGGTTCAGGGGCTGCTGAGCAGGTGTAATGTGCTATTCAGCTTCCTGGGTTCATTAGTAATCTCCCTGGACTACAGGGAGATTACTGACGAACCCAGAAAGCTCAGTAGCAAATACCGCCGCCTCAGCCGCCCCGGAACCTGCATGGGGCATATCAAAATCTTCTTCTGGAACTTAGAGACACTTTTCCCAGGGCGGCTTGGGGTCTGGGCTGGGGAGGCGCAGCGCGGCTGCAGCTGGCCCAGGACTCTTCCAGGCAGGTGGGGGGAGGCCTAAGGGTTTTGGTCAGCCCGCAACAACTCTGGCCGAGGAGGGGGTGGGTAGCAGGTCTTGGGGCTCCGGCTGTGGGCTGAAGCCGGTGCTAGGGGGTGTGAATAAGGGGTGTGAATAAGCCACCCCCTGAGCGATGTAAGTTACACCGACCTAAGCACCAGTGTGGACAGCGCTATGTCGGCAGGACAACTACTGCCTCTCATGGAAGTGGATTTATTATGCTGACAGGAGAGGCCTCTCCCTCTGGCATAGAGCGTCTTCACCAGACATGCTACAGCGGTGCAGCTGTGCTGATGTAGCTTTTAGTGTAGACTAGCCTGCACCAACAGAAGTTGATCCAGAGAAAGATATTCCCTTGTCTCTACAGCAAGCTGAAAAAAAATATTCATTTTTAGATTTACCTGATCAAAAAGTTGATGCTGGGCAAGGTATCCAATGCTATTCTGGAATTACAGGAGAGAGAAAGAGAATGAATAATGATTTATAGGGTCTGGCTTCACATTTATGAAAGTTACTTATAAATAAAGTCAATTACTGGCATAATTTGTTCCAAAATGCTAGAGTCAACTGAATAATAACTGACTATTTTGGCTGTAAATGCTCCTCTTACTGGAGATATGTGGTCCTGCCAGCTCGGAGACTTCTGATCCTGATGCTTGTGCCACAGTGCTGGGATGTTTAGTATATAATCTGATGTCCCATTTCTTCACATCCCTTGTTACAGGTTGCAGTGAAATTGGATCTTATGAGATCTCACAAAGCACCATAATCAATTAGAGGAACAGTACTGGTGATTATGGGGCTTGGTCTGAGGCACCTGGCCTTCACTAGACAGGATCAGGCCAGGCAGATATAGTACCATCTTGGACAGAATGACTGCTCCAGAGATGGAGGGCAAAAAGGGAGAAGAAATGGTGAGAGATTTTCTAGAGTCCTTGTTGTACCTGTAACAGAAGCTTCAGAGAAGGGATCTATGCAATAGCAGGATGAGGCCTCTACAGCTCCACACCCATATTATCTGTAATATCAGTGAATATGACCAAGGGATGAGTTTGTTTTCTAGTCACACTAACATCCTCACAGTTTCAGTGAGTCACATACAAGACTCATGGGAAAGTGGAGGAGCAAATATGCTGTGAAGAGCACAAAGAACAGTCGCGGGACGAGTCTCCTGATGGAATCTGTGCAACGATCAAAACCAGCAGGCCTGTAAAATCCCCCCTATGGCCAGGGATTCACCCTTTAAACAGGCAAAGTTTTAGATTGTTCATTGATAGTCACACACAGATCAATATATATGTAACTAGAATCATAGAATATCAGGGTTGGAAGGGACCTCAGGAGATCATCTAGTCCAACCCCCTGCTCAAAGCAGGACCAATCCCCAGACAGTTTTTTACCCCAGTTCCCTAAATGGCCCCCTCAAGGACTGAACTCACAACCCTGGGTTTAGCAGGCCAATGCTCAAACCACTGAACTATCCCTCCCACATGGGGCATCCCAGAAGAGGGGTGGTCTTAAGTTACCTGCTCAATGCCTAGAAAAACTCCTAAAATTCCAGTCGCTGCACATTAACATCTAGATAAGGAGAAAGCGAGTCAGTGGTGCAAATTGGAGACTTCCAATTCTTAAAAATATTTCAGGCACCATGACTCGTGTAAGACAGCTGTCCCCAAACTTTTTACCTTGCTCCCCTCCTTACCCCTGTCCACCCTCTTCCTCCCCCCGTAGCAGACAGAGGTAAAGATGCCCAGGCTGGAGCCATAGCTGGGGGCAGGGGCGAGGCCTCGGCCGGGCATGTGGCTGGCAGCTGGGGCCCCGAAACGTTCCTCTGTGCCCCCCAAGGGGGCACGCCCCACAGTTTGGGACCTCTGGTGTCGGGTATTGTGCAAGCAGCTCTCTGTTCTAATATCCTTTGCCAAGTGTGTCTAGGACAGAATTCCCCAGTCCGATACCAGACTTTGTCAGGAGATAAAACAATGTGAAAGTAACAGACCTTGTTCACGATATACTGATCGATGAAGTCATTGACAATCATGAGTGTCTGAGACCATTCCTCATCGGTGTACCGGGAACCCACTTCCACAGGGACAGTGCGGCAGCCGGCGATTTGACGGAGATAATCCAGACTGGAAGAAAGCAGGTTCCATTATTTTCAATCTTAGCTTTAACATTTTCATTATTTTTCCTGGCTTGGATGTCAGATGGGAAATCCATTTTCCGAGAGGGTTTTGTGAACAAAGAACATTAGTGTCACAGAGCAGCTGCCTTTGTCCTTTGCCCTGACTAAGATGATTATGGAAACATCCTGAGCACTCCAGTGGAGCATTTACCTGATGGCATGGGCGGCGGGTGAACCGCTGGCTGGGGGAGGCTAGCCCCTACCACCCCTACCCTCCCCTGCGGCCCCGGTCCCCTTCCCCCGCCAGAGCCCCCCTGTCCCAAGCATCAGGCGGGCAGCGTGCAGCCCCCACCTGCCCACGAGCGCAGGGCGGGCGGTGCACAGTCCCTCCAAGGGTAGGGCAGGCGCCCCCCTGCCCCTCCCGAGCACAGGGTGGGCGGTACGCGGCCCCCCCCCCCACTTCCCCCAACCACAGGGTGGGCAGCCCCAGTGCCTCCAGCCACCCCACCCCCCTGCTGGGCGGCCCCAGCAGCACTGAAGAGGAGCAGCCAGTCTGGTCTGGGGCCAAGGGGGAAAAGGGCAAGCAGTAGGGGGCTTCGGCCATAAGTGTGGGTGGGGCCACGCGGGGCTGTTTGTGGGGGGGCACAGCCGTCCCCAGCTTATTGGATGCGCCGCTCATGCCTGATGGCATGTAAACAACATTTCCTGAGACACCCATTTGCCAGAAAGAGTATCCCTAAGAGGAGAGGTGGACGCTGCATTGCTTGGAATATTATTATTAATTATTTTCTATTTACACAGCACCTGAAGTCTGGTAGGCAATTTACAAGACTAATATGCAGAGAAGGCCTCTGCTCTCAAAAGCCAGCCAACCAGAGAGACCAAGGATGCGGGCAGCAAAGTAATGAGCAGTGAGGTTTGTATGCATCTTAATACCACAATTTTTCTTCAGTCAAAAAACCCCAATTTCCTATTTGAACACATCTTTGAGAAGAGAAAAAGGGTTTATAAGAGTCCTGAGTGAATAATGAACCATCACTTATTCAATGAATGTAGCTTCTATTTGTGCTTGTGGGATATCAGCAAGCAGGTGAGGGTTTCCTCAAATTCATTTGAGAGTTTTTTGTAAATTTATTTTACTCTATAGATTAACCATGGGCTTTTGGCTACAAATATTCACCACACAATATTGAAATGTTAGGTGCAATGCTTACTTGAATGTTAAGGTAAGTCACATGATATCATTAAGCTGAGCCTAAAAGCACTTCCAGTGTTAATATTTGTGTTTGTGAATGAAAATTTTCATTTCCAATCATTCTTGTACATGCAACTTTTAAATTCACTTTCATCAAATATTTCTCAGTAAATTTTGATGGTGTGAATACTTGCAGAAACAAGAGACGTGGCTGAGGCAAATTCAAATAAATAACCATGAGAATCTTTGGCAATACATGCCTAGCTCTGATGTATAGCACTAAAAAATGCACCAAAAAGAAGTTCCCTGCATTGGCCTCCGAAAAGATGGCATGGATGACAAACCTGCTCTCTTCCAACATCTGATTTCTATTATTCTATCATTAGCAAGGCAGAATCTATTAGATGCAAGTTTCTGAACTGGATCTGTTACAGCCAAGTACTATTAGCAATGAAAAATATTTCAGAAGTAGAGCAAATTATGCAGCAAGATGATGCTCCTAGCAGGAATCACTGGAGCTGGCATTTCATACCTTACAGGGGCATAGGTTATTCTGGGCTTGAGTTAATTGGTGCGGAAAACGTACTTGCTTAATCAGGGCCACAGACGAAGCTGTTTTTAAGCTCTTGTCCTCACCTCCATTTCTTCATACATGGCCAGTGGTCAACAATACCCTCCAGGATGACAGGCTTTTGTGGAATCATATAATTATCTCTGAAATGCTCTAGAGAAGGGCAGTGGAGCCGTGGAATAACTTCTTCTGACTTTATTGATGGAACAGTCGTGTGGTCATTCCGGATTTTCTGAAACACAGGGATTTTTTTAGCACAACAAAGTAACCTGCCCTTTATTACATCAGAAAACATGTATGTTAAAAATAGTGTGAGTCTCTCCCAGCAAAGGAGATGCTGAAATCACTTGAACTGAGGATGTAACATAAAGAGGGAAAAGCTACTGTCAACCTGTGGAACTCCTTGCCAGAGGATGTTGTGAAGGCCAAGACTACAACGGGGTTCAAAAAAGAACTAGATAAATTCATGGAGGATGGGGCCATCAATGGCTATTAGCCAGGTTGGGCAGGGATGGTGTCTCTACCCTCTGTTTGCCAGAAGCTGGGAATGGGCGACAGGGGATGGATCACTTGATGATTCCCAGTTCTGTTCATTCCCTCTGGGGCACCTGGCATTGGCTACTGTCAGAAGACAGGATACTGGGCTAGATGGACCTTTGGTCTGACCCAGTATGGCCATTCTTATGTTCTTAAGCAGAACGGGGATAAAATCCTCAGCACTCCTCCAACCTGCAAAGACTTCCCAAAATACCCAGGAGTCTAAAGTAAACTGCTCTTATGTCCTAAGCGCATATGGATGGAGAAGCCACATTTACAGCCTCCCTCAGGCATACTGGTGAGTGTGCGGGGAAGTTGACCTCCCTTTTGTGTTGCTTGCCCTGCCTCTTTGTATTGCATGTCAATGGAACAGCCTGCAGTGTCTCACAAAAATCTCACAATTAGTAGCTGGTGGACTGACTTATGGAGGCTGCAATCATCAGCTCTTTCCCCAGAAGCAGGATATGGAATAGGAACAGAAGCAGAAAAGGAAGAGAGATTTCAGCTGGTCACCAAATAAAAAAAAAAAGTAAAATATACAAGAAATTCTCCAGGCTGCACTGAGAGCTGCTGCAAGTGGCAGCTCTTACAGTGTATCAAAGTAGTTATGTGTATGCAGGAAGAGTGATTTTGTGAATCCCAGGACTGGGAACCTAGAGACACTCTTTTCCTGTCTTTGCCACTGACTCACTGTGTGACCTCTGGCACATCACATCTCCATTTTACAGATGGAGAAACTGAGGCACAGAATGGTGATGATTCTCATTTATAGGGCCTGCAAGGATCAATTCATTCATGTTTGTAAGATCCTTTGACTGAGATCCTTGAATGGAAGGTACCACAAAAGTGTGATAGAGGCCTCCCATTAATTGGGAAACCAGAGGATGATATAAGCAAGAAGTAGATAAAAAATGGGACAGAATGCCTTTAGATCTGCAAATAAACTGAGAAAACAAGATGAAAAGTTCCATGTAAACAAAAAAAGAGGAATGATTGCATAAAAGCATCATCTTCTGCCTCTGTAAAGCTCATCTCATTTGCATTGTCTGAGATCTCTGCTTTTACCCAAGAACGAGAGAGGCCCAGTTACATGATTTACTCCCCAAGATCAGTGGCTCCTTGACCCAGCCTGGATTTTGGGATCTAGTTATTTGCTGGAATCACCAGTTCCTATTCTCTCTGTATGTAATACAGTGGTGGGCAAGAACATTGAGAGCTGCTACCTTTCTACATGACTCCTTTGTGTCTTCTTCAGCAGACCGTTTCCCATACGTCAGATGCTTCTGAAGGACATTAATTATCCTAACCAGGATGTTATCCAATATGGATGCTCCCATCAGCAGTCCCATGTCACAGACCCGAATCGTCTCTGCTATGGTGCCTTGCTCACTACACATACACAGCACTTTGAAAAGGCAGCCATAAGAATAGACTCGTCGCCAGTCCTTGTCCACATCTCTCCAAGTCCCAATATTAAGCTTTTCCCAAGAGTAATCTATTATTATTTCACTGACTTGTAAGCAGGTTTCCCTTGTGCTTCCAGAGCAGAGGCTTCCAGCTCCATAGAGAAGGTCTCTAGCTTGCTGCAGCAGTGAGATGACACTTTCCTCCACTTTCTCGCTGAAGTCCAATTTCAGGTCTTCCTTAGTGTTGGGCAGCAATGCCCTGATGTCGGCCCACATGGTGTTCCCTGCTGAGACCTGATCTGCAGCGGGGCAGGAGCTTGTGGCTAGGCCCTCAGGAGAGCTGGGTCGGGACATGAGGCCCCTAGGGGCTGACTACTGCTACTGGACAGCTGGGATTAGGGGCTGGTTCTCTTGCCCCACCACCTTCTGTAAACAAACACAAATGTTACTTGTGAGCAGAGCCAAAGGGGCCCAATGTGGAAGCCAGGCAGTCACAGTGCCAGTCCGAGAGCACCTCACGC